ATTCCCTCCTCAGTTAGATGCTCACCCAGTCTCCACTCCTTCAAAAAAATCGTTAAAAACCAACTTCATTTCAATTAAACTGTTAATAGCTCCTGACTGATTCCTCTTCTGCAACTGTCACTAATCTAATACTATCCTTACCTTTTTGTGTCATTTTACCCCACTCTTCTAGCATGTAAGCTCATTGAGCAGGGCCCTCTGTTCCTGTGTGTCCAACTTGTCTGGTTACAACTACATGTCTGTTCGTCCACCCATTGTAAAGCGCTGCGGAATTTGACGGCGCTCTATAAATATCATAATAATAGTAATGATAATAATGAATATATAAGATTTCTTTAAAAGACAAGGAGAGGAGTTCCTGCTGCTGCACAGTCTGTCCAGTTATTAGAATAGGCATGTGTTCCCCTCTGTCCTTCACAGAGCTGATTGCTCAATGTCCCCAGTGAATAGCGTGAAAGAAGGGAACTGCAGGGTGCGATTATTGAGCTGGCAAATGTAAAACTGAACTGCTCTCAGACACTGCTTGCAGGTGGATGAGAAACTGAATACACCTGAGTTAAGCAAGAGAAAGAGTGCAACCAAATAGTAAGAAACGAGTTCCACGAACTAACAGGAACCAAGAGCCACCAACCAGCAGGTACTAACTGCCACCAACCAGGAGGGACCAAGTGCCACAAACCAGGAGGTACTTACTGCCACCAACCAGGAGGGACCAAGTGCCACAAACCAGCAGGTACTTACTGCCACCAACCAGGAGGGACCAAGTTCCACCACCCAGGAGGGACCAAGTGCCACCAACCAGCAGGTACTAAGTGCCACGACCAAGGGCCACCACCCAGGAAGGACTGAGGGATACAATCACACAGAGTGAGGAGGGGGGCATCCTGCAACTATGCTTCTCTTAGGGATAATGGTCTTTGTCTCCTGGGGTGAGTCAATTAATTGATTTTTCTAGCTGAAAGCGCTGTGGAATCTGTTGTATATAAATGTTAATACTGATAATATTAATAATTATAGAGATATGTTAAATTACCACTAATAATTAATGTAACTAACATAGGAACATTAATCATCAGAGTAAATACACACAGGCAGTCACAATCACCGTTTTCCGTTAAATTAATGTACAATCTGAGACAAACTGTTATCAGTTTTTTTCTCTCCAGGTCTGTCCTTACTATGGAAAAGAACTCTCTAGAAGAGTGGGAATACCAGCTCCTGGTATTCCCACTCTTCTAGAGAGTTCTTTTCCCTTGTTCTATATAGGTTTTTAGTGAATCCCTATCATTACCAGTTTTCGAGCAGCTTAGTGCTAGTCTGTCTCCCTCTCTCCTGTGTGGTACATTAGGTACACCAGAACCGTTCTACTGTCCTTACTATGACCTAATGTTTATCATTCTTTATCCCACCCTGTCCTGTCTCCTGATGTAGGATCTCAATGTGACAGCTTATTTCTGGCTGAGGTAGACACGACTGAAGTGCGTGGCTCAATCACGATGGATACGGAATCTGGGATGTTCACAGCTAATATCTCTGGAGCTTGTAATGAAGCCTACATCACCATACATCAATATCCAATAAGTTATGGGGCCTTACAGGACCCATGTCACCCAGAAAATATTGGTCAGTCGCTATACAACATCAGCCTAAATGATCATTTACAATCTTGGTTCTCAAACAACACTTGGCTAGTTGGATGCTCTTTGGTAGTTAACTCGTGTGGTCATCAGGCATGTGCCAACATTTTTCATACCAGTGGACTTTTTACTACATGGCGAGCCACTATGCGCTCCTTCCTGGTAGGCCATGTTTACATCATGCAAGTACGAGATGTCAATCCAGTTACTGTCATTGCAGAGCTGGCGTTATTGGAAGGGTCCCCTACATCTTCAGCTACTGTGTACTTCTCAAGCAGTTGCCAAACACAAGCCAGTAAACCATCTGTCATTGCTAATGTTGGAAGTCGCCTAAAGACTGCCAGGAGCAGGAAAGAATTGCCAATCATTTCAATAATGCAGTATGTTGTCCTAGAGTATGAAGAGCAAAGGATTTGTGCAGAGGTTAAGCAACTGAAGTCAAAAGAAGCAACAGCTAATTTCTCTATGAATGGTGTAAAAGGTTCATTTATCATCAAACAAGAGTCACCTTTTCTCCCAACCCAGCTACGACTCAACTTACAGAACCTCATGTGGACAGCCAGTCATTTTTCAATCCATTCGCTTCCTATTCCTGCCCGTCAAAGGTCAACACAGGACCTGTGCAGTGACCTGGGAACAGGAGGACTTTGGAATCCTTTGGGGGTAAACACAAGTGTCCTAAGTCATTCAACCTCACCAGGGAATAACCACAATCTATGGGAGATTGGAAATCTTAGTGGCCGTCATGGTACACTTCAAGGATTTAAGGAAATTAAGCTTGTGCTCATAGATTACAACTTGCCCCTATACGGCACTAACAGCATCATAGGTCGTTCGGTTGTCCTGTCCACACCAGATGGTTTGCAGAAAGTCTGCAGCACCATACAGCAGGAAGAAGAAATGACTATAGCTCTTGCATCTTTCCGTAAAGAGATAATCGGGAGGGTTCTCTTCAGGCAGCCGGTGGGTGATCCAGATGATGATCTCTCAATATTAATTGAGTTTTCTTCTGCCTCAGGAAGCACAAGCACAGGCCATAAATGGCATGTCCATGAATTTCCACTGCTGACAGATGCTGAAAGTTGTGCCAGTGCAGGCAGGCACTTTAATCCATATAACATATCAACCGGTGGAAACTACAGCATGGAATGTAGGTCGCACAGGCCCCTCTTGTGTGAAGCTGGAGACTATGCAGGAAGACACACAAGTCTAACCATCTTGGCCGACTCTCCGACACGATATTTCTTCACAGATACTTCTTCATCTCTTTCAGGTCCAGCATCCATCATGGGGAAATCACTAGTTGTACACGGTGCAGATGGTGTCTCTGCCCGCTTGGCTTGTGCCAATATTTTACTGCAGAGACCATTAAAAGGAAAGACCAGTTCTTGGTTTGGGCCTGGCAATGCCTTGGGTGATCTCACGGTTTCACAGACATCGGATCTAGATTCTACATCAGTCCACATCCATTTCAGTGGTCTAAATAGCCATGCAGGGGGCTTCCACATTCACCAGCTGCCTGTTATTGAAAGGTCCAGTAACCCCTGCTCAGATGAGCTCATTAAAGGTCACTTCAACCCTTTTGGGGTGGATGTATCCGCATCCCCTGCAGAGGGCAATGGGACAGATGATGAGTATGAATTAGGGGATATCAGTGGCCGACGTGGATCTTTAGCAAACAAAGACAGCATGGATAAAAGCTATAAGGATACAAATTTCCCTCTTTTTGGGACTCATAGCATTCTCTGGCGTTCCCTGGTTATTCACTACAGTAACAGCTCAAGGTGAGATGCAGCTAATATTAGAATTGCTATTATTTCTAAAGCACCAACATATTCTGTAGGGTTGTACAATAGGTGAGCACTAAAGAAATAGCTGCAACAAGTTCAAAGTACAGGAAGAGAAGGCAGAGAGCTTACAGTCTATCGGGATTGTAGTA